CCGTCACGGCCACCAGAATGCCCAGCACCAAGGGAGCCGCCATCTTAGCGGGCGGACCAGGGCCTCAGCGCGGGCTGTAGTTCCCAGCCGCGCTGAGGAGCGGGGCGCCTATGGGCCAGTCTCGTAGAGAAGACTACAACTCCCATGAGCCTCTGCGCCTTCCGCTTCCCGAGACCTCGTGCAAGCTACGGGCAGGGCATTGGGACAAACCTAGGAGGGTTGAGGAACAGAGCGTAGCAATCCAGACCAGCTGTCCCCGATCCCCTCCCTGCTGGAGAGAATGCAACAGGCAGCGCGGGGGCAGCTCTGCTTGAGCGAGGAGATCCCAGGCACATTGCTCATGGATGGCTGGGCTGCGAATCTGCCTGTGGGCCAAGCTTGCGGATTGGAAGCGGATCCAGATTTTGTATCTGCAGGGCTCTGCCCATTGCAGCCCTCAGGCTCCCCCCCTGTCAGACTGTCCTGGCACAACCTCTGCCCCCTCTCTGCGTGGGGCACCCTCAGGTAGCGTGGCCCTTGCTTTGTGCTGAACGCTCAGCTAAGTTCTCGGAGGAATTGAGAGTCCAGCTGCCATGTGTCCCCCCAAGCACTGTTACATCCTTCCAGGCACCACTGGGGATCTAGGCTTGGATGTAAGTGTTTTATGAAGCTGAACACAGAAGCAGGGAGTTTGACAAGCATGCTTCAAGTGGGGTGAGAGCAGGGAAGTGCTGTCTGCATTGGTCGAAAGACCTCCGCAGAATAGGCGCTCTTCAGAGGGCTCAGAAAGGAAGGAAAGCATTGAGGTCAGCGAGAGAGGAGTGGCTGGTCACACAGACAAAGGAAACGTGATTGACTGAGTCTCCTTTTCCACCCTGGGCATGAAAGTTCATTCCAGTAAGGATATGGCCTTGCCCTGAGCTAAGAAAAGTAACCTCTCTGGTTAAGTGCTGCCAGGCAGCAACCTGGATCTCTGTCTAGCCCTTAATTCACCATTATTTGAATGCAATTCAAACTCCAGCCTTTGGGCTTTGATTCCTGAGAGCCGTTTTCCAAGACAAGGTCCCATGGTCTGGCCTCCTGGAGCACGGGTGGTGTGGATGGGTTTATCTACAGCTCATTGTATTTCTTTCACACACACAAGTATTTGAGTCTTACCTGTAAATAAACTTTCGAAGCGGGATACTCTCCCATGTGCAAGCCCACCTGAGTCTCAGTCTAGTTTGGGTTGGGTTGGATTGCTAAACATGGTAGAAGTTCCTACCAGGGGCCTGAAGCGGGGTGCATGAGCATCAAAATCTCATCAATGAAGTGGGAAAAGAAACGGTTCATTCCACAATTGGAGGAGAAAGCGTCCTGCAGAAAATAAATAAAACCCAACCCCCCTTTTCTAGTTTAGCCTTCAGATGTTGGATAAACCAGGGCTACATGAACTTTGTATAATGCTGCTGCTCTGACGATAGGTGGCATCATGTCCTTATTCTCATCGATGAGGTGTAAGCCACAGCCAGCCAGCCACTGTAATCCATTTCATTTCTGTCATCTCTATCTTCTTAGAGAATCAAGGTACTCAAACCTTTCATGCTCGAAGGAAAGGATTCCAGAGAGCACAGTTTTTATTTGGGTCTGTGCAGAATTGAAGCACTGTTACATCCTTCCAGGGACTACAGGTGATTTAAGTTTGGATGTAAGTGTTTTATGAAGCTGACCACAAAAGCAGATAGTTTGACAAGGATTGATAAGTGAGATTTATTTTATTGATTTAGAGCAGGACTAGTCAACTTCGGAAGCCCCGGGGCCCACAATGATACTCACAGCACATGCTGAGGGCCACAACTTAAGTGTGGTTGCATATGCAAGCAAATATTTATGC